TCACATTCCATGAAAGGATCTTAACTTCCATAAGCGACAATAACCCCCATTTCCCCACCCCCCCTAGCCGAGGTCCCTTTCTCTTTGTCACACACTCGCCCCTTTCTCTGATACACCACTACATCCCCTAAGTTATTTTGCTTAACACCTTTACCCAACTCCCTCCCTGCACCATCGTAAAGAGATTGTTGCTCAATCTCCCCCAACAGTTCTAACACCCTATCTTCCTTCCCTTTAACAGAAACACCTAGAAACTTCCCAAAGTTTAATAGTTTATCCTCCATCCAGAAAGACATATCCCCTCCTCCGATCCTTGACAAACTTGGGCAGGCTTCTTCTATATGTGCCCTTTCCTTGCTATTATCAGAGGAATACAAGACCATAGCATTGCTAGCACTAGGAGTTTTAACCTCCGAAAGGGTCTCACCATTTCCTTGAGGGTCAGCAACCTCTGAAATTAACATCCGCTGCTATAGGAATGTCCAGAACCATCAATAGTGTAGCATGGTGGAAGAGGTCATGGAACCCTTGGCGGCATATTAACTGAAAGTACTGGTCCGACACTAACATCAATTCGGGCATGCTCAACAATCACCCCAGAAGAAGAAGAAACTTTAAGTGTGGCCTCAGCACAACTAAGCCCAGGAGCAGGTGAGGGGTTGATGGAACCGGGTCCATCAGAGGCGGTGGGCCATGGATTAACAGCACCATCCTTAGCCGGTTCTGCCCCTGCAACAACGGCCATCGTAGAGGGGCACAGGTCACTAGAGCTCGGTGAAGGAGTGCCACTATGTGAAGNTTAGCCGGTTCTGCCCCTGCAGCAGCGGCCATCATAGAGAGGCACAGGTCACTAGAGCTCGGTGAAGGAGTGCCACTGTGTGAAGTACCATGGCCAGAGGAAGGTGGAACGACTGTTCCCATATGCTTAGGAGCTTTATCATGCGCAGCTTGAAATAATCTGGGCCCCTTAGGATCAATTCTAATGGAATTGGGGAAAGTTGCTGGGCCCATGTGAGGAGGCCCAGGCCTATACTTGCTGAAAACTTGCCCGGCCTTATGATAAGTAGAAGACGATCGTCCCATTCTGCCTTTCCAGCCCGCCTCACGACCCATTCACATCTTCTCCTCCTGTTATAATTTTGTCTTCCTCCCCCAATTTCAAACCTCCCGTCTCTTCTCGATCTAACGTCTGCTTCCGGCTTAATCCAGTGATCCGGTGAGCCCTCCCCTCCCCTCAGAGACTGATTTCCCCTCCCCTCCCTTCTATTTGACCTTCCCTTTTCTTCCGTCGCTATCACAGGCATAAAGATAGGGCGAAATTCAGGGCTCAACCAAACCCTATAACTCAAGTAGCCATCTTCCACCACAGTGGAGACAGGGATTCTGCCCCCTTTCCTCACCACAATCCTCACTCGCGAGAGATCGTGTAAACTGCAAGTGACATCAATAAAACCCCCACAGATTTCCCCTATCTTCTTGAATAGGTCAAGACACCAAAGATGCACCGGGAGACCCACCATGTTGACCACCAATGTTTCGCCAGTGAAGCGAGGGTCAAGACACCCATCATGCTCCACCCATCTGTCTAGATTTAAAAAGTTCCCATCGAACCACCTGTTTCCTCAGACAAGAATTTCTGAAGCTTGAGACTTGTCAACAAAACGAAAGAGATATTGAGTGTCCCCCAATTGCGATATTTTCAGCCCGTCCTTGACGTTCCATGCCTCTGCTGCCCAGTTCCTAACAGCCTCCGGAGAACCAACCCATTTGGAGAAAGACCCAATGAGACTAGATTCCAAGAAACCCTTGCGCCTAAGAGTGTACTCCTCGGACAGCGAGAAGTGTGGCTCCTGTCCTACGTCGAGCTTTCGATGGCATCTTCCCCCAAGTTCTAGAGCTGGCCAAGAGACAGCTTTGATAAAAGACATGTTTTCCAGTTTTCTAGATTCTAAAGAGAAAAAGGAGCTTCTCTCTATACAATCCATTATATTCTAAATGCGGCTGTCCTGGAAAAACTGGCCGAAAAAAACCTCAATAGTTGGAATAACAGTATTCACAGTGGGTGAAAACAGTATATAGGAAGGGATTAAGGTTTTCTCGTACTGAACAAAGGAAACAAACGTCAGAATCTGGGGTTTAAAGGCCGGAAAAAGAAAACGTCGTCGGAATTTGGTGAAACTTGCACGGGATGGCTCGGAAATGCCTCGAGAAGAGGCTGTATGAAGAATTTTTTTTTGAAAAGTCGCCGGAAAAGGCCACACGCGCCGGCGCGTGGCTGGGATCTCGTCGGAAAGACAGTCGAGTTGGCGGCGCGTGAGCCGGGGGAATTTACTGGGGTTTGGTCGCGGTGAGCTTGGCTCTTGATGGGTGTGGTGGAAGTTTAGGAATAAGAAGAGATGGAAGAGGCTCGGCCATAGAAAGCACTGTTCAGGCATGCACTGTTCAAGCACTGTTCAGGCAACGAGGAGGAGTTCAAATGAACAAAGAGACTCTGTGCTCTAAATTTCTAATGAGATCAGAAAATCCCTATGTGAATATATATATAACCTACTCCTATTGTTAGAATAGCTATTCTAACAGTCTATACGTTTTCACTAAATATTTGCCAAAACTGTGATTATTTTTACAGGAGTGCATTCCCAAGTCATGTTAAGTTGTATATTCAGAATGATGCCGTGGCTGCTCTAGCAAGTGGCACGATGGGAAAACTTCATGGCTGTGTTTTAATAGCTGGTACAGGAAGCATTTCTTATGGATTTACTGACGATGGAAGAGAAGCTCGGGCCGCGGGTGCAGGGCCTGTTTTGGGTGATTGGGGGAGGTAAAGTTGGTGCGTATTCATTAGATTGATAAATATACGTATTCTGCTACAATTTCCTCTTCCCTATAGCCTGGAAAAATGAATATGTGGAGAAAAAGATTCGGCTCATACGTATAGGATTAATTGTTTTTTTAGTTTTTTTACTTTTCTCTTTTTTGTCATAAGAAAATATACAGGATTAACTGCTTTTTTTGGTTTTTTTTTAACTTTTCTCTTTTTTGTCATAAGAAAATACACTTCTGCTAATGTTGAATTCCACCATATCAGTTCGCCTTGGAAAGGTCTCCTTAGACATATCTGCATGGTAAAGTTTAGTGGTGTAGCTTTCTGTAATATTAATGTAGATTTTGTCATTGGCGAGGACGCTATAAGTTCTGAATAACAGTTGAATTTTGTTGCACAGTGGCAGATGTTTACGGCTTGCGACACATTATCTGCCAGCTGATGGCTAAACTTGAAACTTTGAACTTGTTGCATAAGCAGATAATTTTGTGAATATAGCAAGCGATCTTTGGATAGATGAGAGATCCGCTTTTGATGAAAGCTAATAAACTTGATACTAGAATTGATACAAGATTCTGTATTAATGTCCTCATAGATTATTTACTTTAATGTTTAGGACTCTCTAGTAAATTCATTGCTGCTCCGAGATTGCTTTATAAATCCAAACCCATCAGATTATGTTTTTAAGTGGAGAACTTAGTCCTTTCCTGTTGGAGCACTTGAACTAACTCGTTTCCTAGTTGTGTATCTTAGTTGATGACATTGAAATGAGACTATGTTATCCTAATTGTGATTGGCGAATGAAGTCGGTTATACCTACTTTGGTTTGACAGTTGAAAGAGATAAAATGATCAAAGGAATAGGAAGAGATCCCAGAGAGCTGTTATTCTGTGCCCTAGCGGGTTTACTGGCATATTCAAATGCATTCAGTGGCCATGTGCATCTCAAATTGCAGCAACTCGGGATTCTCCCTCAAGCTTGTCATAGAGTTATCTTTCACGCGTCTAGCTTTCAATGAGGTTGTATGGAGTATTTCCTACTACACCATTGGTTAAGCCATGGCAGGTTGATCCCAATTTTCAGGACTAGTATTGTAATTCACACCCAACTCTGCATTGATATAGTGTCTATCTTAACATGCGTTGTTATACCACGTTGAAGTGGATTACGAGCTATAGTCATTTCTCCCTTGTCCTGGTACTGTGTCATTCGATGCAATAAAACTTTGAGCACTGGGCTTCATGGTCAAGGTAAATCGTCGATGCTATGAGCTATTATCCCTTGATGCTTTGGTTTGGCACCTAACTGCTATAACAGGTTGAATTAATTCAGGTTACAGTATTTCACTAAAATATATCAGGGGTAAGTTTTCTGTCAGTACCTGTGATATTCTGCTTTCTTCCTGCTTCTACTTCATGTAGTTATTCAAAGAGAATATTATTACTTTCCTGGAGCTCCTTTTAAGACTAAAAAATTCAATATTCTAAATGCAATGGACATCCATGCTTGAGTTACATGTCAAGCAAAATTTACTAGGAGAAAATGTCCAACTGATTTTAAAAATATGTGTCGTATCTAATACTAGTGGGATTTTACTACCCTTTCTTTGACCCCACTTTGTGGGATTTTACTGGGTCGTTGTTGTTGTTGTTGTGTCGTATCTAATACTAGTTTTAGGATTTTGTTAAGTTTAAACAACAATAATAATTGTACTATACTAGCACTTGCTTTCTGTTTATATTTGATGGAGTGCAGTGATGTCCAAATTGGCGCTTGTCCATGAGTTACATTTTTGGGTTAGGATACTCTTAGCCCAAAGCAGTTGGGATCTTTAATTTGTTTATTTTCTGTGAATTATCTGTACTTCATTTTCTTTTTTTTGAGGCTAAATAGCCCTAGATCAATGATGTGGCTGAATGACACCTTAATAATTGATAAATGATAACTAACACTACTACTTTTTTCAAACTGTCATTTATGTTCTTTCATTTTTAGTTCATGTCGTAGTGTTCACTGTTCAGGATATATACTTGCTAAGGTTTGTTGCAAAAGAAAGAGATCAATAGGTAAATAAATGAATAAATGAAGAAAGAACACAGAAAATATTGTATTTTTTAAAGTTTTTTTACAAGTGAATTTGCTAATCTTTCGAACATGATTATAACTATCAGTTTCTGCTATTGCAGTGGCTATGGGATTGCTGCTCAAGCATTGATTGCAGTGATGAGGGCTCATGATGGTCGAGGTCCACAAACAATGCTTTCGAGTTGTATTCTACAGTCACTAGGTCTTTCTTCTCCGGACGAACTAATAGGGTATCTTCTCTAAACTGATTTGTGTCAAAGTTGATGGGCATTTCAAGTGCCTTCTCCANACTGATTTGTGTCAAAGTTGATGGGCATTTCAAATGCCTTCTCCTGCTTCTTCCATTCCGTTAGGGACAGGATTGTAAGGACCCACATTGGGCAACATTTACACCACATAAACTTGATTTGTATAAAGAATATTTGCACAAGAACAATATTTTTGGCTGTTTCATTTCATTCTTATTGGGATCTAGGTGGACCTATGCGGATCCATCTTGGGCTCGCATTGCAGCACTTGTTCCAGTAGTTGTATCCTGTGCAGAGGATGGAGATCAACTTGCAGACGAGATCTTACATAATGCAGTTCAAGAATTGGCTATAAGTGTCAAAGCTGTTGTCCAAAGACTACGCTTGGCCGGGGAAGGTTTGGCCTTTATAAAAATTCTGAATTTTATATGTTTTTATCATTCTCTATTTCTCTTCGTTCTTGCACTTAAATGATATACATGCCTACTCAGCTGCTTTTAACTTGTTAGTTTGATGTAGCTACTAGCTTCTCTACTTTTTGGTATACTACTTGTATGCATGTTTTTTCTCCCAACATCAATAAAATTATTTACCTTATAAAAAGAAACTTATTAATCCTCTCCTATACACACATGATTGTAATTTGGTGACCGAGGTAACTCAAGAGAGAATGGGAAATTTTACGGTTGAAGAAGATGAGCCATTGCTGATATTAATATCTTCTTCAGATTTCAGATTAGTTTCATATTACTATAGAATTGTTTTATGTATATTTTTAAATTGTAGATTATGTTTAGATCTTCGAGGTTCAGTTTATATCTATTGCCATATCACCTTCTCCTATCATCGTCACTTTGACTAGCTTATTTGCTAGAGCTCTCTCTTCTCTATGAAGATAAGACCCCTGTTTACTTTTTTTTTTCCAAAACTTGAGACATACCATATGAATTAATAGTGGGTACTATAGTCTAATTTATCTTTTTCTATTTCTCTATCTCTTTTTCTCTTCCCTGCTTCCTTCCCTCCCCCCAATTTTAACCTTCTTTGTCCCTTCTCTCCCATCTTCCTTTTGATAGTACATCAATTTTAGCATCAGAACACAAGTTCTGAATCGTCAGTCATTGCTGCATCCTAGTATGATAGCCAATTAAATAATCGTCACCTGACCCTTCATGAAATAACTCAACCCTCAACATTCAGGTGAACCTTCACGAAATAATTCGACCCTCAACAGTCAATTGGCATTCCTTTCTTGATGCTTTTTCATCAAAGATGAGATTCTTCTACTACTGCCGAAATCTTTGGAATTATGCTAATACCCTCACTGTGGTCCTAGCCAACCTTTTTGACATTTTAAGGGGAAATTGTTGCAGTTCATACAAACAACAACTACGCTTCACTCCCAAACAAGTTGGGTTCGGCTATATGAATCCTCACTGGTCATGTTCCCGGTTTAAATTCATCTAATGATGTAGTTCATAATGATATAAAAAATTGTAAAGTATAAGAAAATGGGCTGTCGCAGATTCTTGAGATTTTTGTTAGATTTTTAGATTATTTTCATATTTATTTTTGATTACTTGCATAGTTGTCTTATAGGTTTAGATTAGGTATTAATCAACGAGTTCTTCTCATTATCACTATTTCTTTGATTTTATCCATCCTTACATTTTAGTTAGACAGAGTTTTGGTTGTGTTATGAACTAGCTTGTTCAAGGTTCTCAATCGATAAATAGGATCTTGTATACCTATTAACACTGGTGAGAAGTTTGGGTTTTTGGGATTTCTCTGTTATTCCGAAAAGAAAGAAGAACTGGATGAAAAGTTTATGAATTGATATTGGGTCTTACAATCTCTTTCACACTGTCTCACTTTTCCTCTCTTAATTTTTATCTCTTTTATCCTTATCCATTTCTTTCCCTTGCATTTCTTCTATCTCCCTTTTGGCACTAAATTAGTGCTTGTTGACGACTGCAGATGGAAAAGGTTCCTTCCCTGTTGTTATGGTTGGAGGCGTACTTGGAGCCAACAATAAATGGAATATAGGGAATGAAGTCACTAATTCTATTTTAAAGACTTATCCTGGAGCTTGTGTAATTAGACCAAAGGTTAGTACTGTTCTCTCGATATGATTTTGAGTTTGTCCAGTTTTTCACGACAACTTTGAGGAGGACGCCAAGTTCATTTAGTAACTGTTTTCTTTTGAAGTTGGTGGGTGGAAAATGCAATCATTCTTTAAATTCGTTATTTCTGTTGATATTGCCATATTTTCTTGCTTTCTGTTGTTTGTGCAGTCTCTGTTAGGTCCTCATTTTTTTGGTGCTCCTTATCTTCAATTATAGTTGGACCACGAGCAATGAGGGAGCACAGGAATATCGGTTTCTCATTTTTTGAATACAAATTACGTATATAAAAACTACATAAAAGTACTATAAACCAACACATATATAGAAGTACTACTGTCATCCACACCCTTGGTGTGACCTAGTGGTCAATGAAATGGATGCAAACTTGGAGACAAATCCCGCAGCATAGACAAAATACACGAAGTATTTCTTCCCATCTACCTAAATCTTGGGGGCAGAGTTACCCGATATTTGTGCTGATGGAAGGTAGCACGTATCTGGTAGAATAATGGAGGTACACACAAACAGACCTGGAACAACGGTATAGAAAAAAAGTACTATTGTCATTCTTTTTCATTTCACTTGTTTAGAAAGAAATGGAAGGGGTAACTGGTAAAGTTACTGCCATGTGACCAGGAGGTCATTCAAGTTGTAGAAACAGCTTCTTGCAGAAATGCAAGGCAAAGCTGCGTATAACTAAGTTGCTCGGACTCTTCACTTTCAGTGCCGCACCCGTGTCGACACGACGTGGGTGTGGGTATGGGTGTGGGATCCGTGTCGGATCTGGTCAACCGATTTTGGATACTTTGACCAAAATCAACGGAGAAATTTGGGACAGATACAATGATTTTTGAAAACAAATCAAAAGGTAGGGTGATATGGAAGAAAATGGAATACCTTGTATATATAAATTTCTATGTTAGTCCTTTTCCTTTTATCTCTTTCTAAAATTCTACTCTTGTTCAATATTTTCTCCTTCTTAGAATACCTTGTAAGTTTTCCACATAATGTCTCATAATTTAGACATATTTTTATAACTCTATTTTTAAATAATTGAATTATTTTTAGCCGAATCCCCGCACCCGTATCCGTACCCCCGAATCTTTAAATTTAGATCATGAAGAATCTGACCTCTAGATCCGCACCCGTATCGGACACCCGCACCCGAGCAACTTAGGCGTATAATAGATCCTTGTGGTCCGGCCCTTCCCCAGACCCTGCGCATAGCGGGAGCTTAGTGCACCGGGCTCTTTTTTTTCTGTTTAGAAAGAAATGACAAGATTTAGAGTACGAGTTAAAGTATCTAATAACTGATGTGAATTAGCTTCCTCAATCTTTTTGACATAGAATTTACATAAACAGGAACTACATAAAAGTAATATGAGCCATAACTTTTATAAAAAAAGCTACTTAGGAAGCTTTTCCGAAAAATTGTGGTAAAAAAAGTTTTGATTATGCCCCCGGGGCTTATTTCAAGTGGCAAAGGTTGAGGGACTTGTGACATGATCAGGAAAGCCTGGTATTTAAGTGGAAAGGGTAGAGGGGCAGACCCCATTATCCCCAAGTTTCGAAGGCTGCGGTTGGTCATAAGCGTTGGCCCCAAAAGGATTTCTTGCTCATAAATTAAAGATGTTTGATTACCACGGTGTCATATAAAAAGTTTTTTTTTTCATTTCCAAAAGTGTAACATAAGTTCTTTCAACTGAATAATCTCATATATGTGGCCATCTTAAGAAACATATCACAGTCTCTTCTAATTCTTTGCTTCTTGTCTTCATTCTTTCAAAATAAGCAAGGGTCTTCCTCTACTCAGACTGTCATTTACATTATTTGGCTACTTGATAGAGGATGTCATGTGATTCTTTCATAATATTAGGTTGCGCTTCCTAGTACGCAGCTGTATATTAATTTGTTACAAATTTACATATTGAACTTTACATTAGTACATGGATTTTATAGAAGTTTTGAGATTGTAATAGTTTTCAGCAGTGCTGAAGTTTTGTATGCTTTCTGTACCTTCCTGGTACATTTTTAATGAAATTTACATTACCTTATTAAAAAAAAAAAACCTTTACATATTGGAAATAATGTCCCTTCTCAAAATTGTGTTGCTTTTTCTTGCTCTTAAAGAATTTTTCTCTCTCGACTCCCCACTTTGCTCCTTTGACACCGGGATCTGATTGCGAAAGTTTACATGGAGGGAACTTTAATAAATTCTCTTAAACCAACTGCTTCCACCATCAGCTCTCGGTGATGCCAATGTCAAGGTTAAGGTGACCCTTCATATGTTGGATATGCATGTTAGAGAATGAAGATGTTTGCTTAGAGTTCAGACAAGATTCACCTAATTACTTTGATACCCAAAGTTGAGGGTAGCATGTCTCTGTATCACAATAGCCAATCACACACTATGTATCTTTAAAACTTCACTTCTTGAAATATGAGTGCTCGGATTCTGCAAGATCAATGCTACTGTGAACAGTTCCGAAATAAATTTATGATTCTTGCTGGTTGTTTTTAGTCAGACCGGACATGTGAGCAAACATAAATGCACTGAAGCAGCACCGATTTGGCTTGTTATGTTAGCTAATATTTTGTTGATGTAGGGATATAATTTCTAGTGGCGCTTCTTTATAACCCGTGGTACATTGCCATTCTTTTTGTTATTCTGCTCCCAGTGCATATAAACTGCATTGCCAATGCTAACTTGAGTATGCTACCTTTCCATGTTTCTTTGTTACTGTCTCGAATTCTTTTATTCTTCTCTTAGTTTCTCTCCTTCCCCGTCAGGGACATACCTTTCTTTCTTCTTCCTTTTCTGGGGGTGGGTGAGTGGAGTAAGGGCAACTTATCTTTCTTCGAATTTACAGTAAAAGAAGTACACACACACATGGGCATGTATGCGCGCATGTGCGCAAGCGAAACACACATATACAGAACTAGTAAGGCATCTCCATTTAGATATCAACACTAAACAGTGTGGCACATGTAATTTTTTGCAAGTGCGGCAAACCTTGTTTTACATTGTTGCCTTAAATAGGTTTTCACCATTTGCATACAAGAAGCAAATGAAAATTAGCTGTACATCATCACATATAAGGTGGAAAATGATACCAATAAAAAAAAGTTGCTCAAAAAAGAAATATGGCGTGAAGTGTGAGGTCCAGACAGTGTTAAACACATGTCCATTTATGTGTTAATTGGATCACGATCTTTTCCATTTTAAACAAAACAGCTATAAGGTATAAATAGTTCCTATCTGCCGAGATTCAATCTGTGGAATAGGATTTGATGAATATCCACTGTTGTATTAAGACTTTTCATCATAGAACATACTAAGAATTCTCGACATGTTTTATGAAGGGGAGCCTTGGTGTAACTGGTAAAGTTGCTGCCATGTGACCGGGAGGTCACGGGTTCGAGCCGTGGAAACAGTCTCTTGCAGAAATGCAGGGGTAAGGCTGCGTACAATAGACCCTTATGGTCCGGCCCTTCCCCGAACCCCGCGCATAGCGGGAGCTTAGTGCACAGGGCTGCCCTTTGTTTTATGTCAAAGCAACCTCAAGATTTCAACTTCTCGTGACCTCATCTTGCTTTCAAAAAAGTAAAGTGATTTTTTTTCTTTTTCCAAATACCTGCTTTTTAAAAATGAAAATCCTTTTCGGAAACCTTTAAAAGCAGTTTTGGTGATTTTTTATAAAGCAAAACATTCACTTTGGCTCCATTGTACCATGCTTCTCAAACTGAGCAAACTATTGTGGCATTGCTTCGAGTTTTTGTGTTTCCAGTTCAATGACTTGTTGAGAATCACTGTTCGTGTGTATTTGCTCATTGTCTGTGTATATTTGACATTTCTTGTTTGACTGTGATCAATCCAGTTCTAGTTGATAACGCTCTCTGAAGAATTGTCCTTTCGTTCTTGTCTATTATCCTGGATTATTTTTGGGGCATAATACAGTATTTAACATAAATAAGATGGGTGAACCCATTTTCCATCACACAGACGCTTGTGTCGGTGCTTATTTTGCCCTCCTGTGAAGAGCAGTTTTATGATTACCCAGATATGAAATTTTAGGTGTGAGATTCCATTCCATGAATTATTGTAACCTAATATGTAAAAGCTAAAAATTGGTCTCGTGAATCCTTTTGACATTTCCCCCCTTCGATATCTGCGATAGCCACATCATTGATCAATGGTTTCTTATGCAGAAGAAAACAAATAAACCATGAATGGGCTTTTATCTCACCCTGGAACTGTTTTTCTCTTAAATTACCATGATTTTCCTAGTATGTTTAATGCTTGTCACACAATTTTTCAGGTAGAGCCTGCAGTTGGAGCTGCTTTATTGGCCTTAAATTTCTTGATGAAAGAAACAGTAGCTAATGGCCATAGTTGACACCTGATTGTACATAGCTAACTGTGTTAACTGTATAATCATTGAAGTTCTCTTTAATCGGTGGTTCCAATTCTGGGAGGGCATGTCCTTGGATCATGGTACTGTACTTGCCTTCTCTTTCCATTGCATATGCAGACTGCTAAAAATGATCTGTTATTCAAATGAACGTTGCACCAACTTGTTGTAACATATCTTTGTTTCCTAAGTTGGGCAGTCTTTTGGTGCTGGAGGAGAGGGAAGGAGATTGTTTGGTCATAGTTGCATTTGTATTGCTGATGGTTATATAGAATTCATAACTGATCAGTATGTTATGTAATCTCTTTTATAGCATTCTCTGTTGAGATAAATCCATTTTTCGTTGCATGGGGGAATGGGGTTGAACAGTTTTATTAGCGTGTCTCAAGTATCTCCCGCTTTAACCATAGTTGAATTATAATCTTGATAAGTTGCGATCTCTAATTAGTGACTTCTTCAAACAAATTATATCACTTATATTAATAAAATAACTACTTGTGGAAACTTCGATGCAACATGCAAAATTTTACCAGCCATTGACATTTGAACTAGACAACTAGTCCTTTAGAGTGTTTTTCATTCATGCGTTAAATGCCTATTGTTAGCTTAGACTTGAACAAACAAAATCCATATAAAGATTCCTAAACAAGAAAAATAACTGCAATTACATATGGCTCTATAGTTTTTTTCCACTCGAAATCCATATAAAGCTCTATATTCAATTTACCTTGGAAATGATGTTCTTTACCCATAGTTCTCATTTTTGCTTGATACTTTCTAATTTCTATTACACTAAAGTTGAAATGAGTCTTGTCATTTATTTTTAGTTTCTAATGATACTTGAGCATATTCCTTCTCCAAGGAAAACTTAAAAGCATATATGCTAAAAGACAAAAGTGTTTCTAAGTAGATGTATGTCTATTCATCAAACAAGTATTTGCATGCATACTGTAAGTAAGCATTATTTTCTGATATATACACAATTTCACCCTTGATGTATACACGAGGTTTTCTTTTTCCCCCTTTCTTGTTTTTCGATTTGCCTCCTTATGTACAACTTTTTTTTGAATTGCGCGATATCATTCGCAAAATCAGAGGATTGTTCATTTGTGAAAGGATAAAGAATGATAAATACATTTAAGCATTGTAGCATTGTAATAGTTACCAACAGCTGTGGCAATACATTTTATCTGTCGGATCTCATATTCCCTTTCTCAATCCAAAATGCATGACTTTCGTATTTTGGTTTCTCACACGTTTGTTATTCTTTTTCTCGTTCATTTTAGTAACTTTATCAACTCTTTTTGATCTGACTCCCTATCATCTATCTATTTATACTATATTAAAAACACGAAAGCCCTTAGCAAAATATTGTTCGCCTTTTTTTGCCTTTTAAAAATAAATTTCACACTAAAGGAAAACGTAATTTAAGTTTTTCCCTAATTTCTAGGAGTTCTAAATCAACTAAAATTTTTCCTTATCTGAACTTTACTCTATATAAACTCTTTCCTTAAGTTGACAACTTGACATAATTATAACCTTCCATGTTAATTTTCCAGTATTAATTTTCAGAATAGAAAAATAAAGAAAAGGAAATGAAAAAGGAAAGAAGTACAGAAACAAAAGGGATTCTTTTTTGACTTATTCTCATTTTTATGTTTGCTTCTCTTTCTTCTCGCTTATTATTACTACTACTATTATTATTATTACTATTATTATTATTATTATTATTTTTATTATTATTATTATTATTATTATTATTACTATTACTATTACTATTATTACATTATTATTATTATTACTATTACTATTACTATTATTATTACATTATTATTATTATTATTATTATTATTATTATTATTATTATTATTATTATTATTATTA